GGCTTCCCTCCGCGTGCTTCTTGGGGCAGGGCACCTGCAGCTGAAAAGCTGAGAATCTGCAGCTGCGCCAAACAGACCCTTAACTTGAATATTTGATTAGTTATTTTGAAAACTTGATTTAAAGGATTGATCCCTCCGGTTAAAATCTTTGATCAACATGATCATTATCGAATAATTAAAAATTTAAAGTTTTTTATAATTGAAGGGAGACATTTAGTTTTATTAGTTTAACCTTTTCAAAGTATAAGTCTTGTCGACTCCTATCATTATAGGTAGGAGGATCAGATTAGTTGAGTGATTTGGACTTGTAAATCATCTCTAGTCCTTGTTAGAATTTGATATAACATTCGCACTTTGTGAGCTGAAGTTAATCAGAAATTTGTCACACTCGACAAACTGTTACGGAGAACGAATAAATTTTGCATTTAGTTTTTGAGTGATTGAATTTTAACTTGAATATTTGGTTAGTTATTTTGAAAACTTGATTTAAAGGATTGATGTCTCCGGTTAAAATCTTCGATCAACATGATCATCATCGAAGAATTGAACATTTGAAGTTTTTATAATTGAAGGGAGACATTTAATTTTATTAGTTTAAGCTTTTCAAAGTATAAGTCTTGTCGACTCCTATCATTATAGGTAAGAGGATTGGACTGGTTGAGTGAGTTGGATTTGTAAATTCTTAGTTTAGGATTTGAACATTTATTTTAAAACTACTAGCCTCATCTACTCCAGTCCTTGTGAGGAAGAGAATTAAAATAGTGGGGTGGGACTTAAAACATGATCCTATAGTCAAGGCGACCCGATAAGCCCGTGTGTCGTCCCCGTGTAAAAGGACTGTATTGGGGTGTCTGTCTGTCTGCCCAACTATCTATAAGACGCGTTGGTCAGTGTCGTGTGACACTATAGCCAGAATAGATCTTCTAAACCACCACTCTTCACTACCTTTCCTTTGCGTGGACAATGAACCAAAGAAGGATAGCGAAGCCAAGGAGAGATAGTAAAGACGGAGGATTCTCTGGCTTCGAGAGGAATACAGGAGAAGGGATTTGCAAAGATGAATTGAAAATCTCTCTCTCACTCTCTCTGCCATTTTGTTGCAAACAAAAAAAAGGTAGAAATGATGAGGATCAAGGGGCTTTGTTGCGCAAGCTTCTCGAACAAAAGGGTAGTTTTTTTTCTTTCACGTGCGGTTCTCTCTGTGGAGAAAAGGAATACCAATAGTGAGGAAGCCCTTTTACGGTTTTTCTTCGATCTCCCTCTAGTCCAACTCAACTGAGTCTTCGTTTGGTGAGTTAAGAGCAAGGGGTGGAGCGGAAATAGTTGCACAAGGATTTAGTAGTAATTAAATTTAATCAACCTAATTAATAAATATTAATTAATTAATTAACCTGCTAATATTAATAACTTTTAATGATAATTTTTTTAACTTCAACATATAGCTCATCCAACAGATGTAAAGGACAAAAAAAGCATTTTGTCAAACAACCTAAAACGAAATCATGAAACTAAGGGAGAGTTCTGGGCGATGAAAATGAAAATATGAAAAACGAAAGAAAATTTGACAAACATGTTATCTCATTATAGCACCGAACAAAAATGCAAACAATAACCATTATAGAAAGTGCTAATGAGAAAACAAAAAAAAAAGAACTTATCACAATTTTAGTCTAGAATTTTGTTAAAACTTGATATATCAACAGAGAAAGGAATTTGAACTGAAGTTCAAAAAGCACAATTCAGCCTTCAAAAAGATTGATTCGTTCCTAAACTTTCAATTTTAGTTTTTTTCAAATATCATAAGCCTCCATAATTAGCTTATATATAATACACACAACCTTGACTCTATATCTTTCTAATGTACATTTCTCGCATATATAATACACACAACCTTGACTCTATATCTTTCTCACCGGCTTAAAGGAAGAATTCTTTTTGATGACTTAAAATAACAGTTCATATTAAGCTTCTCCCAGGTTTGATAGCCCAGACAAAAAAAGTAAAATAAAATAAACAATAAAGAAATAAATAAATAGGCGACATTAAGGTTAGCATTCTCATAAGGCCTATGGATGGATTATAACTAAAGAACAAGAAGAACGGTTTTTTCCAATAATGTAACATATTTAGCTAATCTAATGAAAAAATAAATCAAATCTAAAACCATGATGGAATCAGTAACTAGCAACTTACATATTGCCATTGCCAGCAAAAGAATGTAGAATACAACCATCCTGATAGGTTGGTCCTTAATCCAACTCTAAACCACAGTAGAAATTCATCAAATAAACTCGCATGGAAATCATAACAAAATGATCAACCTCTATGGCTTCAAAAGATCAATAATCCAGTTAATTCACGGAAAAGAAGCAACAAATACAAAGATCACGAGCACAAACTAAAGGTCAACTCAAACATATCCACCAAGCAATTATAAATATCGAATAGGCAAGCATAAAAGTAAAACAAGATCTCCCAAAACAACAAAAAGTGTATGAAGAAAAAGTATACCGCTGACTCACCCCGCTAGCTATAATAACGCCGGTAACGACGGGGACCAACGTGACGTAGGTAATCCACGCTTCCCGCCGCACCGTCATGATGTAGGCGAACACCGCGGTGAAGAAGGGCGTAGTGGCGCCGACGGCTTGGTTGAAGGATACCGGGAGAAAACGCAGTGAAATGTTTCCGCTGACGACAGATCCGCAGAATACGAAGCTGAGTGTGGCGATTTTGACGAACTGGAGACGAGATCTCACGGCCTGCATCGGAACGAGCTTCAACCATGCGATGGCGACGTAGCTGAGCAGCGAACATGCCGTCATGTGGCACATAGTCAGGAAGATAGGAAACCTGAAGCCGTAATTGCTCAACAAATACTTGTTCAGAAGAAGCACGCCGATGTTGGACGAGTACCACGAGATCACCAATCCCACCGTGAACAAGCGGCCGTTGACCACCGGCGCCGGCAGGATAACCTTTCCGGTCATCGCTCCAGCTCCTCTTCCACCTCCAGCGGGATACAGCGAGGTGGATCGATTTCCTACCACCTCCCTCCAAGAAATGTGGGGATACTGCAGTTCAACTAGGGTTCGCAGCGATGCGCGGCGGCGGTTAACGTAATTAGGGTTCCGTCGGCGGAGGAAGGAGGATTGGCCGGAGCTGCTGCCAGCGGCTCTGATTCCAACTTTTCTTCCTTATTTGAAGGTATTCTACATCTTATCACGACTCTTAGCTACCGTCTGTTTCTATTTTATTAAAATAAAGGTACATTTACATAGATAGCACACTATTATAATCTATTTACATATATCACCCTAGACCTTTCATATTTATGCAAATAGGATTCAAAACTTTAATATCACATCAAAAATAACATTATTATCACTTTTCAATTGAAATATATAATTTTGCCTACAGAAAAATTATCAACACGAATCTTAAAAGAATCTGGCATACTCATAGGACATGATAGGACAATATAGGGCCCCCCTGAGCCACACAAAGCTTCGATAATAGTCGTTAACCAAAAGAAATTGAATCAAGGAGTCACAGAACCCACTAAGAGCTAAATTGGCCTGCAGTCTTTTTATAAAGTGAAACAACTGTGCCCGATCAACGTCATCAGGGTGATCGACCAATGTCATTATGGCGTTCGACCTACAACAGAGTCATCAGTCGATCGAACGGTCCTATTGAAATAAACCGTCAAAAAAATCTACTGTCTCATCGGTACCGACTAGATCACTGAGTCAAAGATTTTGAGATATCTCTAGCTCCTAGCAAACCATATACATGTAATACTATCTACAGTCCCTATTGAAATAGAGTTCTCCATGTAGCTTAAGGGACCATACTTTCTTTGTCTATAAACAGGTCACCCTGAGAATAGGAGAAAATATTACATCATGAGTCCTGATGCAGTTTTATGTGTGGATGGTAGTATTTAGGTGTTATTAGCAGTATTGTGGTGTTATTTGCATCTAATATGTATGTAGATCATCCATATGTAATATTTTTTCTGAGAACAGAGGGTACACAATCTTAATAAAAAAGGCCGAAAGGCCAATTCACTCGTTCTAAATTACAGTCCATTCTTTCTCTTTCTTTCTCTC